CCCTAGTGTAAACTCTACCGCATCCAACTCCTAAACATGCATGATCCGAGTTCAAAACCCAACCTTCACCGACACTAGTATGAACTCGGTTACCAACAATTCTAAAACATGCATGTATCAACATCACTCTGTGTTAACAAAACTCCCCCGACCCTACTATAGACTGGACCCCTAACAATTCTAAAACATACATGGACTAGCCTCGAACCCTGGCTCGGTGAAAACTGTCCCAACCAACTCCAAACCTTCCCTGCGCACCCGAATAAAAATAACTCATCCAGCCCCTTAATCAATAAAAATTATTGATTTGTACTTTAGAGTGATTAGATTGAATGATATGTATGCTAACGTCATATCATATTTAGTTTTTACGTCATTATTTTGGTGAACTTTGAATGTAGACATTTTAAACGGTGTGTCATTTGACACGACGTACTATAACGTTGTTGTTTTTTAAAACTTGACTTTTATAATCTTAAGCAAATTTTTACTAAGGTGATCAAAAATTAAGATGACAATGTAAGATATAGAAAAACAAAATACATTGAGTGGTAAAAATAAAAAAAATTGTCATTAGACGTAATGTATTATGTATAAGTAAACTTTCTTAAAAATTAAAGAAGTTCAAGTCAAAAAGAAGTTTGATGAAAACTGTAATACTAAAGCGAACATGGGAAGGTAATCTGCTGCAAGACTAAGATATATATTCGTCTTTCTTCTAGGTTCATTGCCTTTTTTGGTTGAGGTTAAACATCGCCATGTTTTCAAATATCGCGATGTACGTCACGTTCTCTCCGCTCTTACCTAGTAATCGCTTCCTCTACCCATTGTTTACAACACACTTACAAAGAAAAAATTTCCCACCCCTCTACTTGAGACATAAAATAAAAAAGTGTATTGTGCCTTGTCGTCACAGGAAACAAAAACGGTGGCGTCTAATGTTGTTAACCCTTGTCTTCCTAAATTATTTTTTAACTTGTTAAAGAAATTGACTGTTTATTTAAGGATTCTGACGCGAATTTTTTCACAAGGGACGATACTCGTGTCTGTAGACAAGGCTGTTCTAATTTTAGAACAGTTGTCTTTCCTCTCGTTTCTCTATTAGGGAAGACCTATGGGGAAGACACGTGATACTTCTTTTAAAATGTAAACAACCGTGCACGGGGTACACTTAAAATAAACCCCGCTGCGAAAATGACAATGGCCTGGTGACACTTTTTGGAAAACACGCTTTCATGTAAATAAAATAAGGGTCGCTTTTGTTGTCGCCATGATAATGTATACCTATAAGTTCTCTCCGCCTTTACCGACCTAGAATGAATTTCGCGCGCGCACGTGCTTGTGTGTGTGTGTGTGTGTACGTGTGTACGTGTGTGTGTATGTGTGTGTACGTGTGTACGTGTGTGTGTACGTGTGTACGTGTGTGTATGTGTGTGTGTATGTGTGTGTGTGTGTGTGTGTGTGTACGTGTGTACGTGTGTGTATGTGTGTGTGTATGTGTGTGTGTGTGTGTGTACGTGTGTGTATGTGTGTGTGTATGTGTGTGTGTGTGTGTGTACGTGTGTACATGTGTGTATGTGTGTGTGTGTGTGTGTGTGTGTGCGTATCTCAAAAAAGCTTAACATGTCAACACCTGGGCAACAAGTCATAGTCAAAAAGGCCTAAATCATTACAGATCTATAGGACATCCGTCTTTACATGTACTTACGATAGGGGGAGTAAACTCGTTAGATTATTTCAAGATGTCTAATGAAGATTGGATACTTGTGGCCAGGAGTAACAATAAAGTGACGGAAATACGAACGCTGAATCACACCGGATTTAAATTGGCGATTGTTAGCCAATTCATGAACAAAAACACTTTAAATCTTAGAGAGCTTATAGATGGAACCGATCTTAATTTTCCTACAAATTCTGGTGTTAGTATGAGTCGCGTCTGCTTTGAGCGCCTATTAAGTTTACAGGATGAAATTTTAAAAGCCTTTGATGAATTGGAAAAACGTTAATAAACAAATAAAATATAAAAAGAGTTTTGTTCTAATTTAGTGTGTATGTGTGTAAGTGTGTGTGTATGTATAGTTAGCCGGTTGCTCAGCCTAAGTGTGGTACCATAATGAAATAGAGAAGACACGCGACACGTCTTTTAAAATGTAAACAAACGTGCACGAGGTGGACTTAAAATAAAGCCTTGATGGTCCAGTGGGTGTGACCGATATTAAAAACTTTGCTGGTGAATCAATACGTAACATCTGTTACCACAGTTAACGTGGAGACGCGCTTAATGGCTCGCCTTAATTACCATAACCCCTGCAGTGTTCGCTACGCGAACCCACATAAATCCGCGATGCATGACCAAATTTAATTAGGTGGACCATCATACTGATGGTCAGTGGGTGCGATCAATATTAACTTGGCCCTTGTACGGTGGTTGACAAGAACAAAGGATCGCGGATCGCTATGTAACACGTGTTGAACGGCTGGTTAATGGATGTTATACAAAGACTGTTCTAGTACATGCTAGCACACCCCTCCCCTCAACCCCCGTCATTACTCTCCGTTTACTATAAAACATACATACAATCAAATAAACAAACCAACAAGTAAACAAATAAACAAATATAAAATTTAAAATTAAAAAATAATAATTTAAAAAATTTAAAAATTTAAAAAATTAAACTCCAATTACGTAACTCGTTAATAATAATTAAACTAATTAAAATAAGTTAATAATAATTAAACTAATTAAAATAATTAAAATTACAAAATTTAAAAATTTAAAAAAATTTAAAAATTTAAAAAATTAAAATCCAATCACGTAACTACTCAATAAAAATTTAAAATTTAATAAATTAAAATCAAATCAATTAAATCAAACTAAAATTAATTAAAATTTAAAAAAACAAAATAAAAATAATTTTAAAAAAAAATTAAAATCAAATTACGTAACTCGTTAATAAAAAATTACACAATATAAACAAAGTAATTAAAATCAAACTAATTAAAAACTCATTAAAATTACGTAACTAGGTCAAAAATTAATTAAAATTTAAAAAACTCATTAAAACTAATTAAAAACTCATTAAAATTACGTAACTAGGTCAAAAATTAATTAAAATTTAAAAAACTCATTAAAACTAATTAAAAAACTCATTAAAATTACGTAACTAGGTCACCTGCGGTGATTACGTCACAAGGTCACCACCGGTGACCTACTGACCTACTGACCTACTCCCCATCCGCATCCCTGCGCATCCTCCCCATCCCCATCCGCATCCCCATCCCCATCGCCATCCGCATCCCCATCCGGAGTATTTTACTATATCTCATTGTCCCAGGCTGCTGCGCCTGCGCCTGCGCCTGGAGTATTTTACTATATCTCGTTGTCCCAGGCTCCCCATCCCCATCCCGAGTATTTTACTATATCTCGTTGTCCCAGGCTGCGCCTGCGCATCCCCCTGCGCATCCGAGTATTTTCCTATATATCCTTTGCGCATCCTGGGTGCGCCTGCGCCTGCGCCTTCGCTCCAAAAGGGACCTAATATACTACTTAGGTTTCTCAAAAGTCAACAAGATAGGTAGACGAAATTTTACGTATAATTCAAAGAGCTAATTTTCTAGTTTCTGTTTTCTATCAAATTGTTAGTACTGGAAAAACTATATTACTATTTTACGCTATTCCCGATTTCTCAATAAAGGCTTAAATATTTATTTTTACCATGATTTATCTATCTATCGTCCGGCATGGTTGCAAAATTGCGAGCAAAATTTCCAACACTTTATCAGACCTATTTTTATAAACTTTTTACATAGGTCTAGACTCGTAGACAATGTATCCTGACAAAATGCTACTAAATTACATGATTAATTAACTTTTGAAAGATAATCAAGTTTTACTTTATTAAGTACTAAATGTTCACTACTTTTACACACAATGTTTGGTGTTCATTTTGTGCGCAATTTTTTACGCTATTTTATTGTTTAATATTCAAGTATTTAAAAATTGATTAAAAATAAACCGGGAGTGATCTCCACAAAACTTTCTCGAATATTCTTATATAACTTGGAATATAGACATGATTTTTAATTACATAAACTTTTAAAAATAGAATAGAATCTCATAGAAAAAAGAATCGCGCACCAAGCGAACGCCAAAACAAAATGTGCATAGTAGTGCGCATTATTATTAGTACTTTATAAATTTACATGCGTTTTTTTTTCTTGAGAAATGGGAAATAACGTAAATTGGTACTTCCGTTCAACGGAAATAACTTAAAATTTGACAGAAGGTAGAAAAGTAGATCTTGTACTTACTTTTGAAATTTCATTTATCTATCTGAAATAGTACTCAAGTTATAGGCTTTTGAAAAATTCAAAGTAGAAAAAGTACCACTTCCGGTTATCGGAAATCGCTCAAAAGTTGATACGGATCTACGATTTTGATAAAATACTTATATATGAAATTTCATCAACCTAGCTGTAACGGTACTCAAGTTATCGTGTTTACACACAGACAGACAGACACACACAGACAGACACACAGATATACGGACAAGATTGCAAAATTATGTTTTTCCGTATCAGTGAGGTGTAAAACGTCAAGATTTGTAAAAATCTCGATTTTTTTTTTTGCACGATTACAAGACTTTCTCTATACTTCGTATATACGAGAAAGTAAAAACCTAAAGTAGAATTAGTGGCACTTCCTGTTACCGGAAATAGCTAAAACTCAACTACATATAAAATTATAATGATTATATATGAAATTTCGTCAACCTAGCTGTAGCGTTACTCAAGTTATCGTGTTCAGGACAGACAGATACACACACACACACACATACAGACACAAATATACAAATAAATTTTGATTTCGATTTTTCGCACGATTAAAATACTTTCTCGGTATAAAGTAAAAATAGCACTTGAAAGGTAAATGCTTTTGCTTTATGTTGTTTCCTTTTTATGTGCAATTTGTATCCGTATACACTACATATCATACTTACCAGAAAGACTCTAGAACTTTCAACAAGAATGGAGCTCCAGCCCTTGCCACCAACAAACCGTTGCTGATTGCTCGAGGCCAGGATGGATAATCCGTCCACTCGTAGCACAAGACCGTTGGGTACCTTCTCTGGCTCACAGAAAGTGGTTTCACCCAAATCACGTCTTTGTCCTAAACAGAATCGCATAAATTTACACTAAAACTTATAAATTTAACAGTTTATTCAACACTATATTCAGAGGTTATACATAAGTCATTATAACGACCATCAAGTACTTACACATGAAATACCAAAAAGACCAAATTACATATATTGAAATAACACCATGAGAAAAACACGAAAGGCAGGAGATGTTCAATAAATGAATCGTAGGGGTGGGTTAGCGCATATCGCTGAATCATAAGGACGCCAAGAGAAAAACCTGTTACACAAACTCATGTTGTTATTCTTTGATGAATCACAAGCAACTAAATAAAGGCGGCATTCACAGGCTGAAATGTGTTACATACATAAAATACCAAATTAAAACATAATTTACTACTCTCAGGTGTAATTTTGGTTATCAGACAAAAACTTAAGGGAGACATGTATTTAAAAACTCTCGTTAGTACATTAAGAAAATCTGAGAAAGATACCCTAAACAAAAGTTAATTTATGTGTAAGCAATAGACGCCTTTAAAAATTGAATTCTTATATATATATATATATATATATATATATATATATATATATATATATATATATATATATATATATATATATATATATATATAAATATATATATATATATATTACAAAGCTACATCTATACCATACATGTAAGATTTTAAAAAGCGAAATTAAATGAAGGTAACTACATAAAGACTCACATTATAAGTGCCTCCATATTTGAACAGAATGAGAACTCTGAGAAGATCCGTCCTGTGGGCCATCACATTCACATCTTGCTGGAAGATGTTTCGAAGCTGGTCTATCTACATAAACAGGATTTTAAGAAAAAAAAATGTAAAAATGTAAAGGTAAACCAGAAGTTTAGCGATGGGAGTACGTGTCCTCATGCTAGAAGACATCACAATGCTGGTTTACCTACTTCAACAGGAGTTTTGAAAAGTAGTTAAACTTAAACGTAAACCGCCTATAATGTTTGCGAACGGCATGATAAAAGCGGTAGAGCGCTATACTGATGACCCAAAAGTCTCGAGTTCGCATGCGGTTCCAAGTCTGTAGAACGTCTTTGAATTCATTCAACTTTTAATAGATATCTAACTTGTGTCAGAAATATTTAAGGCGGCCGAGAAAAGTGCTCAATACACCTTTATTTCATATGCCGAGTTCAATAAACATATGAGCTCTACTTCGTCTTCCCAATGGATCGCAAGATCTAAAGATGATTCAATACGTGTTTAAGTATAATGTTGATATTAACACTCTGGTTTATTAAATATCACTAGAAGCTAAAAACATACATTAACAGCTTACGTAAACAAATGTGGCATTCTCGTGCATCAACTTCTCCCACCAGTAACCTGACGGCCTTGTATCCCCATGTACATACACTCTGGACAATACAAGAGAAATGAAATTATCTTCTAAAATAAGAACATTGGTTAATTTTATTAAAAAAATAGAGTAAAAATGTACCAACTAAAATCAATTTTGAACTCATTAAAGGAAGATACGATACTGTGTACCAACCTCTTAAACAAATATGTTCATGCATATCAACCTCTCAAATATGTTTATGTCTACCAACCTTTAAAATATGTTTATTTCTACCAACCTCTCAAATATGATTATGTCTACCAACCTCTCAAATATGTTTATGTCTACCAACCTCTTATACAAATATGTTTATGTCTATCAACCTTTAAAATATGTTTATTTCTACCAACCTCTCAAAAATGTTTATGTCTACCAAACTCTTAAATATGTTTATGTCTACCAACCTCTCAAATATGTTTATGTCTACCAACCTCTCAAATATGTTTATGTCTACCAACCTCTTATACAAATATGTTTATGTCTATCAACCTTTAAAATATGTTTATTTCTACCAACCTCTCAAAAATGTTTATGTCTACCAACCTCTCAAATATGTTTATTTCTACCAACCTCTCAAATATGTTTATGTCTACCAACCTCTCAAATATGTTTATGTCTCCAACCTCTCAAATATGTTTATGTCTACCAACATCTCAAATATGTTTATGTCTACCAACCTTTAAAATATGTTTATTTCTACCAACCTCTCAAATATGTTTATGTCTACCAACCTCTCAAATATGTTTATGTCTACCAACCTTTAAAATATGTTTATTTCTACCAACCTCTCAAATATGTTTATGTCTACCAACCTCTCAAATATGTTTATGTCTACCAACCTCTTATACAAATATGTTTATGTCTACCAACCTTTAAAATATGTTTATGTCTACCAACCTCTTATACAAATACGTTTATGTCTACCAACCTCTCAAATATGTTTATGTCTACCAACCTCTCAAATATGTTTATGTCTACCAACCTCTCAAATATGTTTATTTCTACCAACCTCTCTAATATGTTTATGTCTACCAACCTCTCAAATATGTTTATGTCTCCAACCTCTCAAATATGTTTATGTCTACCAACCTCTCAAATATGTTTATGTCTACCAACCTCTCAAATATGCTTATGTCTACCAACCTCTCAAATATGTTTATGTCTACCAACCTCTCAAATCCACCAACATAAAGAGCAGAGATGACACAGATGTAACTTTCAAATGACCAGACGACTGGGCTGCCAGGGTTAGGGTTCAGGAAGATCACGTGGTTTATGGGTGGAACCAAATCAGCTGGATCCTGGCGAAATGATAAAAGAAAGATAAATACTTTATCTATCTATCTATCAATACAAAAATCAATGTACGTTTGTCTGTGTGTCTTTTTGTCTGTCTTTTATGTATTACTACACCTCTCATCACATCGCCGTGTAACTTGTGGAAGTCGTTGTGAATATTTCTGGGGGGGGGGGGGGGGTTCTGCGAAGAAAAAAATTCAAATTCGGAGGCTGTCGCCAAGGTAGGGCGAGATTTGTTTTCTCTATATACGATATATACCAATAAAAGTCGATTTTGGTTTGCCACCGTTCATCCGATAGGCATGAGAATTGGGGGGAGGGGGGTTTATTAGAACACTACCTGGAAGGGTTCTGCAAAAAATATTTTTTTTAAATTTCGCAAGGGCGGCGCAACGGTAGGGTGCGATTTTTCTCTATTTACAGTATGTAAAAATAAAAGTCGATTTTGGTTTGACACTATTCATCCGTTTGACATCAAACTTTGGTGAGTTCATTAGAACACTCAGGGGAAGGGTTCTGTAAAAAAGTCATTTTTAATTTCGTAAGGGCGGCGCCACGGTAGAGTGCGTTTTCTCTCTATATACGGTATATAAAAATAAAGTCGAATGCAGTATCACACCATTCATCCGATCGATATTGAACTTTGGGGAGTTTATTAGAATACTTTAGGCAAAGGTTCTGTGGAGGCCCAACGGGATGGTGGTATTTTTCTCTATCTACGGTATATAAAAATAATAGACGATTGCGTTTCGACACAGTGTCGATGCCAGGGGCCGTACGTGGCGCCTTTGCGGTAATGTAATCGAGGGGGAGGGGCGCTCCTGAGAGCGTCCCTCTACGTCCCTGACACATAAGCGGTCACCGAAGTGTGTTCTTCCTCATTATTTCGGTGAGTGATTAATGTACCTTCAAGGATTTCATGCGGTGGTGTAGGTAAACCCGTGTCCCGATATTTATGATCCAAGCACAGACATTGTTTACATTTAAATAACTCACTTTTAGAAAACAAGGTCACGCGTCTAAGAATAAAGGACTGACAACGCTTGGATTAGACCCTTCTTATATACGAGAAAAATGTCCAGTTGAGGAAGGATACAACGGGCGCTAGGTTGATAGTGCTGTCTATTTTCTCTAAACTATTTATTTAAAAAAGATATATCTTACCTTGCTTTGCTTGACCTGTAGACCCTCACTTCGCCCATAGTACAACCATCTGAGTACGGCGTTAAACTGGGATGTGTTGTTGAGGATATGTTCTGGAAACACATTACTGGGCAGGACTACACACGGCGAGTACTGTGTTGTATCAGGATCCCGACTGTCGAACTCTTTAGGTGTGTGGCATTTATTGGGATCCTTGAGAACTTTATGTCTAAACACATCAAGGTCTTCTTTTGTTCTAGCTTCCTCTTGGTTGATCAAAAGAATTATTCCTTCACTAGATACATTCCCAGGTTTTGAGTACATGACGAATTTCTTAGTTTTCCAGTCTTCTGGTACGTACGTCAACACAGCTCTTTCACCAAAATAAAAACCTCCCCCTCTACTTGAGTTTATTTGTTCTAACGCAAACTCCACTGCGTCCATCGTGTTACATCTTATAACCCTGTCAATTTTCTTCAAATCCAAGTTAAACACCGATTGTCTTAGTTCGAAAAACCACGAGTAATAATAATATCCACCCCCTCCTGGCAAATGATTGTAATAAAACACCAATCTCAACGGATTCAGGACACGCACTATACTCAATATACCTAACAAGTCTTCAAATTTGACGTCTTTATTTTCACACCAGACATAATGAACAGTTGAAGGTAAATCACCTGGTATTTCTTGCCTTGAAGTTCTAGAACTGTATAAATCTCTGAACATTCTTGGTTCTTCTACTGCACTTAATCTTGCATGTTTAAATTCTGATTGTACGTTTTCTTTATTTGTTGACGCTTTAAGTATCTTATCAACCTCATGATTGATCACACTTTCTTCACACTGTCTTAGTTTTGGCATTTCATTTTCGCATGTCTGCAATTTCACTTTATTGTTTTCATATTCACTATTTAGTTTAGAATTGTTTTCTCTGCATGCTTTGAATCTGGATACAATAATCTGGTGCATAGACAAATTATATTTGCATTCGGCATACGTGTTTAATGAACGTTCATGTTTGTCAAAGAGTTGTACTACCGAATCGTTTAGTATTGATACAAAATTGCTGTACTCTTTTAAACTTAGGATGACATCCTTTTCAGACGAGACATCCCTGTGACTGTAATATCCCGGATAGTATGATACAAATAAAAACGTCATTGCAGCTAGGATGCCTAGAATTATTACGGTGGTTGCATTTCTTGATTGTTGCATTCTCGTGAGAACTAACAGATTAAAAAAAAAACACATTCAAGACGTTAACAATGTGCACTATTTAAAATTAAAATACATATAACAATTACAATAAGAAGTTTATAAATGCCCTAAAACTATAAGTGAAATAAAGCTACTTTTCTTAATTAAAAGCATTGGTCGCACAAGAAATATTTTACACTTTTCTTTCCAATACGTTAAACCATTTTTATTATGCCAATAATTTTGTTTTAATTTTCTGCATTTTAGTCATTACGTTTTTTTTTTAAAAAAAGTACTTGATATGTACTTGATTTTTAAAAGTAGGCTTAATAGAATATTATTTCTTTATGTATTATTTGCTTTTGAATTTCGTTCTTTCTTAACGTCTTTGTTCTACAATTCAAAAGTAGTATATTAGCTCACTTTTGGGTATTATGGGTGAGGCGGAGGCGGAGCAAAGGTTATATGGTAAAATACTCACCCGCCTGGGTGAGGCGGAGGTAAAATGATATATAGTAAAATACTCACCCACCTGGGTGAGTGGGTGAGCCGGAGGTACAACGACATATAGTAAAATACTCATCCACCTGGGTGAAGGTGGGTGAGGGTGGGTGAGGCGGAGGTACAATGAGATATAGTAAAATACTCACCAACCTGGGTGAGGTGGGTGAGCGGGTGGGGGAGGGTGGGTGAGGCGGAGTAGGTCAGTAGGTCAGTAAGTCAGGTGAGGGGGTGACCTTGTGACGTAATCACCACAGGTGATCTTGTGAAGCAATCACCATCGGTGACCTAGTTACAAGGTCACCACAGGCGACCTAGTTACGTAATCACCATTATTTTTTAATTTTATAAGTTTTTAATTAGATTGTTTGTTTGTTTTTAATTAGTTTGATTTTTTTAATTTAAATTTAATTTTGTAATTTTTATTAACTAGTTACGTAATTTGATTATTTGTTTGAATTTAATTAGTTTTTAAATTTTTAAATTTTAATTTTTTAAATTTAAATTTTATTTTTAATTAGATTAGTTATTATTTTTTAAATTTGATTTTTTTATTTGTTTGATTTTAATTAATCTGATAATTTGTTTGATTTTAATTAATTTGATAATTTGTTTGATTTTAAATAATTTGATTATTTGTTTGATTTTTATTAGATTAATCATTATTTTTTAATTAATTGGATTTTTTAATTATTATTTTTTAAATTTTCAAATTTTTTAAATTTTCAAATTTTTTAAATTTTATTTTTAAATTTAAATTTTAAATTTTTTGTTTATTTGTTGTTTATTTGATTGGTTTAATTCATTTTATTAGTTTGTATGTTGTTGCTTAAAATAACCGACTAACGCTAACGTGTACACAAATAGGTTTTTCTTTGTGTAGGTTCCAACAACCATTAACGACATCTGATAGTCATTAACGCAAATTCAAAGAATTTTCCCCCACCAGCGCGCGCTGCCCGTTTTTGACAGGTACCGAGCGGATATTAATGGCTTTTCTCGGGCGGTTTGATAGCCGACCATGTTTATAGCCAACAGGTGAATTCACTTAGTGCTTTGGTACTTACTTTTTATAGCCGTAGAATGTCTTTGTTGGGTAAACTAAGTGCTTCTCCGCCAAGCATTTGCGTTTATTTGAAGACCACCCGGCGAGTACGAGACAGGCTGGCGCCACACTTAACGGATGCTTTAGGGCTTTTTCATTACCTTGTTTTTAGGTTTTTGATCGAGTATTCTACTCCTTTTTGCGTTACACGTATACACAAACACACACACACTAAAATTAGAACAAAGCTCTTCTTATATTTTATTTATTTATTTATTAACGTTGTTCCAAGTCATGAAAGGCTTTTAAAATATCATTCCTGTAAACTTAACAAGCGTTCAATACATACTCGATTATAGTAACATGGGTGAGGTGGGTGAGCAGGTGGGTGAAGGGAGAGCAGGTGGGTGAAAGGGGAGCAGGTGGGTGAAGGGGGAGCAGGAGTAGGAGTAAAGGATATACAGTAAAAGACGCCACCACCTGGGTGAGGTGGGTCAGGAGGTGGATGTTAATTTTAATTTTAATTTTTTTTTCATCATCTGTTAACTTCAAGGTTCTATAACTCTATATATTTAAATACATCTTTTGATTCAACCGAGTTTTGCTTTCCCTAACGTAAGTACATGTAAATGGGGTTTCCTATACTAGGTCAGTAAAGGCGGAGAGAACTCATAGGTATACATTATCATGGTGACAACAAAAGCAACCCTTATTTTATTTACATGAAAGAGTGTTTTCCAAAAATATGTGTCACCATTCCCTTGTCATTTTTGCATCTGGGTTTATTTTAAGTGCACCCCGTGCGCTCTTGTTTACATTTAAAAATACGTGTCGCGTGTCGTCCCCACGTGTCTTCCCTAATAGAGAAACGAGAGGAAAGACAACTGTTCTAAAATTAGAACAACCTTGTTTACAGTCACGAGTGACGTCTCTTGTGACATTATGGGGGACTACCTGATGCAAGCAGAATGCCGTACCATTTGACGGGATCAGTCGTAGTTTAACACAATGCGACGAGTGTTGATTTACAGGTGCAACAGTTATTAACGAGCAACTTTGTTTTGGGATTTTTAAATTAAAGAAGTGTTTTCTCTTATGTAGAACTGATTTACGCTTAATAGTGAAATTGCTTATGCGTCATGTTTTGAAAAATTTCCTATTATGTACATATTTTTTGTATGAATAATCTTAAAATAATTAATAGTAATTACTAGACTACCCGTCATCACTTGGATAACTGTGGGTTTCGGGGGTCATCCATAAAAAAACATCACGTCTGTCACTTATCGTCACAAAAAAACCAGACCCCACATTAAAAAAGATGTTTTTTATCTTTTAAAAACACAGAAAACACCGATTTCGGACTATCCCTTCATATACTGACGACACAGGTGACCTACTCAACTCTACTTCACCTGCCCAGTGTCCCGCCAACTCTCAGACAACATGTTATTATCGTTTAAAAAAAACTATTCCAGCCGAGCATGTCTCTGACCACACTATCCCTTCATTCTTAACACAAAGAAACAGATGAACTCTACTTCACCTGCCCTGTATCCCGCCAAGTTCAGTTAGGCAACTTTATCATTCACATCTAAAAATAAAAAAAAAATGAAATTTTTTTTTTAGCTTTGACGTGCCACCCGCATGAAAGCCGATTACACTAACAACTTAGCTATTTAACCCGTGACGTCGCTGATGTTTTTTTATACTATAGTTTAATACGTTGAGTCTCCTTATGCAACTTGATATACGCGCATAGATCTAGATCTAAGTCTAGTAGTAGTAGCTTTCAAATTAAATTTTATCTTAAATTAGCCAAACAAAGATTTATATAAATTAGTGAAGGTTTGAACTTATCTAGATCTAGATAGAATTATCTAGATATAGATTCTACGACTCGTTTAGCATGTTTATATAAAGTGAAAACCCGCCATTTTGCTCGTGGTAAACATAGCCTAAATAGTCGGAAGTCATGCGTCCGGTCCGGACGCCATTGTTGTTAGCATTGTTGTTAGCATTGTTGTTAGCAACCGACCACGCCACCAATAAAGCGAGAAATCCTACTATATCTAGCTCTAAAACCTAGAAGATAGATAAATCCGATGTATTCTCGAGTTAGATGGTCATTAAAGCTAAACAAAGATTTATATAAAATAAGGCCTGAAATAGATTCTAGATGTAGAATTTGCATTAAGTGTAGATCTAGAATTTACGTAAAGTCTAGTGACCTAGATCTAGATCTAAAGTCTAGATTTCATAACAACATGTTCTTCCTGCGACAGCTGATCTGTAGATCTAGAGAAATTTATCGTGAAACTAAATAAAAAAGACAGTTGAAAATTGATTTTAAGTGTTGGAACGTAATAAATACAGCAAACGGACGTGATGTTAAAGTTATAGCCGACAGAAAATTAGCTTTAGAACGCGTTAAACTTTGGAATGGGAACACAATTTCGATAGACGCCGCCATTTTATTGTACTAAAAAGTAAACAAAATAAGTCACTGTTCCGTCGAGTCTAGTAGTTTTTCTAATCTTTTAAAATAAATGTGGTTAATCTACCTATAAATAAATCAATAAATTAATTAACGGCTTTAAATTAGTTTGTAACTAACAGTGTGTTTAAGAAGGAACAATATTATTATTATTTGGATATAATCTTTAAATATTCTACAGAATTAGTATTTATTTTGTTGTGTATGCTCTTAAAGTATTCTTTAGAAAAGACATTGTTCTATAAGCACCGATTAAGTGTAGTATATTATGTTTCATGCTTTCTTTATTGTAAAAATTTTTAATCATTAGAGAAAATTCGAAAATACTTTGAAAAATTTGGATTTTTGACCATTGTTGAATGTTACAATTATATACATATATATATATATATATATATATATATATATATATATATATATATATATATATATATATATATATATATATATATATGAGTCCTACATTTTTGTGACAAAAGTTAGTATTGTTATACAAAGAAAATGGTCCAGAAATGGTGTTACACGGAGCAAATAGCTAGTAGTTTAAACGAATTTTAAAAATAAATGTCTGAACCTAAATATTAGTTTTACATATAGTAAACACATTAGTTATGTTCCCTTACCTGCATAACGCCTAAGAATTAAACGAGCACCAACACGTAACAAAATGTAGCTGAGACACGTGGGAACCAACGTGATACTCGCCTAAACAGCAAAATATCACGTAACGTCAATATATTTAGTCCGTATGATCGTGATGACGCCATTGTTAATAACAGGGATACCGTTAGTTTTCGCTGGTCGATTTATCCAATGATAAAAGAGATCTTTGTTTTGTTTTTTAAACAAAGGAATTGGTTACAATCAGCCGGGTGTGCGCTGGCGCTGGTGATGGTGGTGGGGGGGGGGGGGGGAGGGGTGACTCTAGAGAGTGTTCTTCAAATAGAGACTAGCTTTGTCGTAATTATTTTAAACACACGTATGTGTTAGCAGGGAATACATTTTATAAAATGTATTTTAAAAGAGTTGACAAAAAAAAATCGCGAATGGTAATGAAACGATTGAAATACGCTTAAATTATAGAAGACGTGGGAGATTTATAAATGAACGTGTAGTATATATGGTGCATGTTTGAGATACTTCATTCGAATATTGTGCAATTGTTGTTTGAAATGCATAGGACTTCTGGTGTCCAAAACCACACACGCACATACAAACACTCATACGCTCGCACATACGCACACAAAAATACTTGATTGAATTTTATAGGATTTCTCGTTTCCTAAATCAATACTAACAAAAATACGTGTATTTTTTGTTTTTTTGCCCAGGACTTCTCGTGTCCCAAAAGCACAAACACACAGAGACACAGACACACAAACATACACACAGGTGTTACTTGAAATACCCAGGACTTATCGTGCCTTAAAACCACAGATACACACACGCACAAACACACAAACATACACATAGGTGTAAAACCAATAAAACTGATGTACACATGTCACTAGAGCATTTATTAGAACATTAACTGTTAATAAAATACAAGAAAAAAAATTGAACCCTGCTATTAATCGACAATGCAAATAAAAACAACAAAAAACAACACACTATTTTAAACCTTGTAGATCAGGATAAAACGTGTTTGTGAATAGGGTAATATTACGTGCGGGTGTGATTGTGGTTGTGAAGGGGGGGGGGGAAGGGGTAGGGTACGGATGAAGGATAGAGTAAGAGCTACTTAACACATATAATTTGACTTTTAGGTGGGCTGTGTAAAAGGGGGATAACCGCTTCAGAAAGGTAAAGAAACTAAACAAAAAAAATGTTTAAAGATCTAGCCTCAGGTGGAATTTGGCGAATTAAACAGGGATTAGATTAGACAAATATATGTTCAGTTCAGAAAAACTGCACGCAAAAGACCAGGATAAGAAAATACGTGTGGTTGTGCACCACAATATACGATGACTTTACCACATTATTTTCATCGTCATTTTTCAATCGTGCCCAAGTCACATGGGTAGATGAAGTAGAGTTCAACTGCGTCAGAGACCTCGGGATATAAAGGTCTCCCAGCCGCCTTTGCTTTCCTAAAGTAAGTTAGGCACCCATCAGAGCTGGGTGGACTCAGGGACTTTCCGCTGATTTGAACCCGGATTCGAACTCGAGACTTTCGAATTAGCAGTCTAACTCTCTATCACTAGGCCACGCCGTACCATTTTACCTCTTTATCCTGTTTATAAAAAGTGGGAAGTCAATGGTGGATATTTATGCTTGATTATGTGCACGAGAAAATGGCTTAAAAAATAAAACAACTTTACGACAGAAGCTTTAAAGCACTTATTATGGGCAAAACAATAAATAAACGTTCTACAATTTTTTTTTTAATTAGCAAATCAATACCACACATCAGGGCAATGATTTAATTTCTGTTTATTCTTTTCACGAAACGACACCATAACATATTAACATGTTAACTCAGACCGTTTTTTGCTGAGATGTAATTTATTTCTATTTAACACATATAGAAGTAATATTATTTCCACACGCGCAAATGAAAATTGCTATATAAATTAGCAAAAGCAACATACAATCAGTGTGTATTAAGACAGCAAATGTTATATATTATACTGGAAGATTACCGTGTTTGCCAATTCTAAGGAACATTCGTTTAAAATGTACCTTATTTTTTCCTGTTTTTAATGAGTTTTTTCTAATTAAAACATATGTGTATGCTACATATTATTTTTATTTAGCGCACACACTGGTGTTTAAGAGGAACACCCCTCCCCACCCCCAAACGTCAACATTATTAGATTTAAACTTGAATATTTAAATCCATAGCTTAAATTAGCAGCCAAAATATATTAATTATCACAAAATATAATATTGTTTTATTATTTTAAAGAACAAAACAATAGATTTCTCGAAAACATTAGTTTTAGTACATTTATCTCTGACTGAATAATAAAATGTGAACTATTTACCAATTATGTGAAATTTTTTTATTAACACAATATATATTCCAACTCAACGCAAAGACTTGAACCAATGTGAAATGATTATATTATCTGTACGTTTTCACTCTATGCATTTTAAAAAATTAAGACCTACTAGACACACAATTTTAGTAAACAAATACCGCATCTTTGAATTACGACTTAAAACGACATTGCGCTCAAGGCGCGATTTACATCTGCGGAAAAAAACCACGGTACAGGCACGGATTATTCCGTGCACTACAAAAAAATCAGGTTGTTGGTTCATCAAACAGTGCTATCAAACATCCACAGTGGCGGTACCATGGGACCGTTAAGAAAACAGTGTTCACGTAGAAAATTAAACCCACACCCACTTTTAATAGTAATATTTTGTTTTCATTTTAAAGGTCATGAGAGGCTAGAATTTTAGTTCTATCGTTTTTATATTACTTTACGCACAAAAAGTAATCAAATTTACGCTTCAGTGACTGTCACAAGACCCGGTCCTTATGGAGACAACATGGACCCATTATCACTAACACATGACCCACCGTTATCCCTAAAAATGGCCAACTGTTATACATAACACATGGCCAACCAATAGTCCTAATAGACGACCACCCGATAAACTGAACACGAGGCCAACATGTATCCCTAAAAAATTACCAACCGAAATCCCTAACACATGGCCAATTGATTTCCCTACCACAAGGCCACCCATTATCACTACAAAATGGCTTACCTATATCCCGAAAACATGGCCGACTAGCAACCCTGCCACAATTCCACCGATGTCCATAACACATGGCCAACCAACATCCACAGCACATGGTCTACTGATATTCCCATCATATGGCCAATCCATATCACTAACACATGGCCAACCAATATCCACAACACATGGCCAACCAACAGCCCTACCAAATGGCAAACTGATTTTCCTATTACATGGCCAATCAATATCCCTATCAAATGGCCAACCAATATCCACCACACATGGCCAACTGATATTCCTAACACATGGCCAATCAATATTCCTAACACATGACCAATCAATATCCTTAACACATGGCCAACCAATAGCCCTAACACATGGCCAACCAATAGCCCTAACACATGGCCAACTGTTATCCCTCACACATAGCCAATCAATATTCCTAGTTTCAGGTCAACCGTTAGTTAAACAAGACAATCAAACTATCGCTCACACAAACCCATTCAAATCACTTTGACCAACTCTCAACCCCAGCATCATATATGAGACATGCCGTACTAGTACTCAGCTAACTAAGCAGGTTTACCTGCATGTTAAGGCACTGTCGTTGGATGATTTGACTTGTCTGCAGGCATGTTACCTTCAGTCTGTTGCCGTTTGTGTTTGTTTGTTTGTTTGTGAAAAATGTCTAACAAATGCGTCCCTTCAATTTTTGTCGATACAAAAATACAACCAATAACAATGTTTTTGAACTATCAAAGCGTCCAGTGCAAACGTGTGACGCATTAAAGGTTGTGTACGTATAATTGTGTACATATAACTCGGCGTCCAAATGGCCGATAACATAAAGGCCCCATTAAAACAACCACATTATAACGATCCGGACAAAACGACCTCGTATAAAGGTATAACAGTTGAATGTAGAGGAATGTATGTTTCAAGTGTGTATCTTAAAAAAGCGATATGGATCTAAAATGTAAGTTGGGTGTGCGCATGCGCTAAGGAAAGGAAGGAAAGAGGTAGATAGGGCGGGAACAACATGGCGATGTTTGGGAGTGAAGGCGATGTTCTTATGAACCAATAAAATTATGGAAATAACAGGAACAAGGGTTGATTTTTGTTTTGAGTGTTTGCCATGAATTAGGTAGGAGAAAAGGCCGTGACAAAAGGATCAGCTACAAATGTACACAGGGTTTCTTCTCTTCCAGACTATTTTCTCCAGGGTGCATTTGAAATTTTCGGGAGGGTGGGGACTAACATTTCCGGGGAGGGGGGGGGAGGTTGACGGGACGGACACCGTTAAAAGTATATAGTTTCTATATTGTCTATATAAATTCCATTTCGTTCGGGAGGTGGGACAGTAGACTTTCTTCCGAGAAGATGCCTGGAAGAAACTCTGAATGTACCCTGACATATATGTGTCAATACGGTTCCCGTAGAGACAATCTATCGGCGAAAAAGGGAGTCATTTAATATGACCCCTGCTAGAATGACCCTTTTTATCAAAACGTTTCACAGTTTGCTTAGTTAAATAATACAGCATACGAATGTAGTTTTTGGTCTGGACGTCTATTATTTACATAACAAATTGTATCTAGTTTAAGAATTACTGTTTTTAAATGTATGGCTTATCTTTATGACGAATATCAAATGAATCGGTTGTGGGCTGTACCGATTCAGTGTGTGGGGAAGAGATCCACGCTGTTTTATTTAGTACGAGCTGACCCGCGGCGTATTATACGCAGCTATTTAGTTCTTTTATTTTCTACTTTTCAGTAATTCATAATTTGTGAATTCGACAGTACCAATGCTGCCACTGAATATATTGACTTTAAAACACTATCAGTATGTCGTTAAGAACGATACTACCCCCACCCTCTTTTCCCCCAACCCCTACCCTACACCCCCCCCTCCCGTGAAAGCAGCCTCCTCTTAGTTACCTCCCCTAAGTTTAAAATCG